ATGTATTTGCAAGACATGTGTGCACAACCACCATATATAATTTTAATCTCTCTCACTCTTTCACACTTCTAATTCTCTACCAATATTAGAATGAATGCATGAACGAAAAAAAAAATGAAGTTCAATTCAAGGCTATCTGGTATGCCATCTGATTCCTCCTTAGCTCCATCGACTGATGAGCTTCGACACTCTATAGTGATTGTAGCATTCTCAATGGACACATCAGATAGGCCGCTACTCATGACACAATTATGATTTGAATTGTTGACTTGCTCATCTCCTTCATCAAAGCTCTGACCATTGGCTACACTGAGTTCAATATCAGTCCCAGAAGTGTTTCCTTCATGACCTTCACCATTTTGATCGTCTGTCATCAACCTATCAGTTTCCATTTGCTTCTCCTGCTCTAGTCGCTCAGCCTTCCGAGCAGCAATTTTCTTGTAATGGGCTTCAAAGAAAGCCTTCTTCTGAGCTACCGATCCGGGTGTTGAAAACTTCTCAACTTCATCCAAGTACTTATTTGGCGAAAAAGATGACCATTTCTCCCAAGAAAGCAAATCATTCTCAAACCTACCGAATGAGACCGATGGGTCCAGGGTAGCGCCAGAGGCAAGTGACTCACTCATCTGTTTTATATGACGGATGTTCCAAAACACACAACATGTCAAGCAAGAAACAGATTGACAACTCACAACCACACACAAAGAGTATGGGAATTTCGCAATTACGAATTAGAAATCAATCATAAATCCAAAACAAAAAAGATAATTCGGATCCGAAATAATTGGATAGAAATGAAACAACTGGGTAAGTTTTTACTGACCAAGGGACAAATGGGTGTACCTTATTTTCGACATTCAGTGCTTTTACAATTGATTCACCCATTAATTCTCTTAAATCTCAATCTCAATGTTGAATTATCGCAGAGCTACCAATAAAAGTACACACAAATTTCACACCATGGCCTGTAACAAAAAAGATTAATTCATAATACATACCACTCCAAGAGACCAATAACAAGCAGATCACAATGAAGACAAAAAGAAAATTATAAAAATATGAAAGTAGGAAACCAATGAAGACATAAGCATGTGAAGTGTCTTCCATTTTGTTCGTTACTTCAATTATATATACACCTTTTTTCTTTTTTTACAGTTATTATGAAAACTTTTGTCAGTTTCTGGTGCTTCTGAAAACTCCTGTTTGGTTCGCTAGAATAATTTTAAGTACAAATGGAATGATCATTTTCTTAAATTAGCGAATCGAATAAATGAAATGACTTTTTTTAAAAAAAAATTGGCCAATCCAATCAATGAAATGATTTTTTTTTTTTATTAAAAAATTGGTGAATAGTGATTACATTTCTAGTGTAAATTTCTTTTCTTTTTACCGAACCAAATATAAAAATTTATTATGACGGAATTGCCATTTTTATTCCACCTTCCAAACACTACCTAAAAGGATTATTACCTCAATCATCAACACAAAAACAACATTATGATACACTGAAGAGAAACACAAAAGTTTTGCATATAATTCTTAATTACTCCAAAAGGTGATTCATATTTTTTCTACTACTAATACTGTTTGGAGAGAGAGAGAGAGAGAGAGAGAGAGATTGGACTTTTTGTTGATTCTGGGAGTGTTAATTGAGATTGTGGGAATGGAACAGAGAAAATTGCAATACTAATAATACATTGTAGAAGTTTTTAATGAGAGATCAAAGATTAGTTGGCTTGGCCAAGTTAAAGGAGATTCAACAAAACACTGTCGATTCATTTGTTACGCAAAGCAAATCAAGAACAAAAATTTGTTTTTGTTTTTTGCAAAGAACTATTTTTTTAAAAAAAATAACCTGAATATTTCTCATTCGTGGATTTGAGAGAGAGAGACTCACCAAGATATTGATCAGATCAGCGATGAAAGCAGTCCCGTAGTGTAGTAGACAGAGAGAGAGAGAGAGAGAGAGAGAAATAATGGAAGCAGCAAGGGTTGTGCTAAATAAATTGATTTTTTTATTTATCATAAAAAAAAATGTGTAAAAAATAGAGAATTGATCTGATTTAAAATGGTATTTGATAAATTTGAAAACTGAATATTGAAAATTAAGTTCTGTTTGGCTATCATTGTGGGATTAAAAAAAGCATAAAATGATAAAATATGCTAAATAAGTTAAAAAGATAAAATATCACATTCAACTCATAATTATTATATTTTTTCTCTTACAAAAATCAAAAAATTCAAACCAAAAAAGGCCAAAAAAGCCCCAACATAAAAAAAAGTTAGCTATATTAGCCAATACGAAACGAAGTTTAAGTATTAAAAATTGAATGTTGAATTTTTTAAATTGAAAAGCTATTTGATAAAAATTTAAGTACTAGATTAAAAATAAATTATTAGATATGTATAAGATTAAATTTAAAATTTATTATTTACAAATTATATGTATTAATTTTTATATTATGATAATGACAGTGGTGGTGATGATGTGATAGTCATGGGGGGTGGTGGTGGTGGTAGCGGTGACGGTGACATAGTGATGGTAACAGTGGTGGCATTGGATGATGGGAGTGGTGATAGTAACGATGATGGTAGTGATAATGAGTTTATAATAAGATATATCAAGACTTATGTTTCATTTTTATAAATTCAATTAAAATTTGATATAACTTAAAATTTACTTAAGTTTTAGTTTATATTTTAAGAAGTATTTAAATTTTTAAGTAATATCAATTATAATTATCAAACAAACTTAATTAATTATCACTTAATCAATTCAATTTTAAATATTGAATCATATTATCAAACCGTCCCTAGGGTGCTCAGAAGTAAAAAATTAGTAGTTGATTTTGGAGGCCAGGCTGGTTATAAATTTTCATACTCTCTTATTTTTTAATCATCAATACAAAATTATAAACCTCACCTTGGGCACCACGTGACTGTGCCAAATACCAACAAATAACTTCTTATAAGTCACGTCCCAAAAAGAGCTGATGAAATCTGAAAGGTTAAAGTGATGTCGTTTTAGTGTTAAAACATTGAAACGACGGCATATTTTCAGTGGGGCAATAAGGTTTGGAATTGTCTATAGCAAAGCCTCATGGTTGTGCTGGACAATGTCAATTTGTGTATAATATGGTATGGATGGCCCATATCGTCTGGTAGTGTTGATTTATGGCCACAATTTGCTTTGTTGGGGCCACTTTGTTCATCAACTCATCAGGTGGCATGTGATAAAAAATGAATAATGACCCTGATTTGCAATATAGACACAGAGATATCGATGATTTGCGAAAGATGATTCATGATGATAGAGGTTTGCAACGGTGGGGCAATTTGCAATGAGGAGTTCACAATAGTAGGATGGTTCACGGAGGAGATTCGTGGTGGTGGCATATTGAGAAATCAAATTTTAGAAACTTTTACCCTAAAAAAAAAAGTTTAACTAATGAATAAAATTAAATTTGAAAAGAAAATATTATTGTATGAACTGAGAGTTTATGGAGTGTAAAAATAGAAGCAACCATACCATCAAGTAAACTTGACACAAATTTTCAGTAATAAAAGAAGTTGTAATCACCCCCATTGAGTAGCTCTTAATGGCCCATTATCATCATTTTTCAAGTGGCCCATTTCAGTGTAATTCTTAAGATTGATCCACTCAATTGCTTATAAATCAGGGCAGAGTTATTTGACCAGAAGGGCCCAAGCCCAAACTGCTTATATGTTAATTAGCTCAGAGAACAAAATAGGCGCATTTGCTTTTTCAGTAACTAGTGTTCCGCCCCTACACGGTTTATGTTTATAATTATTTGTGTATATGAATAAAGCTTTGGACCCCAGTGGGGGTACTGGGGGGTCACCTCCCATTGGTCCAAAAAAAAATAGTTTTTTTTTTTTTTTTTTTGCAAAATAGGCGCATTTGCTTTTTCAGTAACTAGTGTTCCGCCCCTACACGGTTTATGTTTATAATTATTTGTATATATATGTGAATTATGATTTATTTATTTATTTTTATTTCTTTTTCATAAAAAAAAAAAGAATATAACAAATGCATATATCTTTAATTAATTATTTTATATTTGTCATTCAAAATTTAAAAATAATGTATGGGTAAAATTTATAACTAAATTAAAGAAAAATTTATTTCTAACGATATTTTTTTATTTCTATATAAATATTTAAAAAAATAAACTTGAAAAAGGTAGTCAATGTAATATTATACATTAAGTAAAAAAATGTGGTTAGCAATTATGTTTATATAAATTTACTATAGTTTTAATTTCAAATTAAATAAATAAATAAAAACTAATTTAAAAGTATTTTATTTAGCTAGTACCAAATAGAATTTTCTTAGCAAAAAAGAAAGTTATAAAATTTTGTTGTAAATATTCAAATGTCTATTGTTAAACATTTTATTCTACTTACTTGCTTGCTTGGAGAGTTTTGATCTTTAAACTTTGATCTTTGCTCCACATTTATCGTATTGTTTTATTTTTTATTTTTTTTCTTACTTGATTTTCGCATGATATTTTTTTAATAGTGCATCTCCATTTGTATTATTGAAAATATCATACATTTAAAATACACAAAATTACAATATATAGGGGGCAAAAAAAAAAGAGTATGTTATTGCCCAAAACTAAAACTACTCTAAACAAAAATGAAATAGTTTGAAGTAGAAAATGATTTATTAATTTATTTATTAATTTTTAAAAATAAACCTTTAAAGAAAACAGAGAAAACTTAAAACTATATATATATATATATATAAAATAAAATAAAAAAGTACAGGAATCAATTATAAAATATAATACAAAAAATAAATGAATTTTAAGATTTTCAAGAAATGAGACTTACAAACAAAATTTAAAAAATCTTATCTATTCATATACTTTTTGTGTATATTTTTTGTACTTATAATCCCGAGAATGACATTGAAATAGTATGCACTTATTGCATTAGGTTCATCTAATAGTTTTAGCAAATACAACACAAAATACAAACAATTGTAAGACAAAATACCTATAAAAAAAAATGAAAGCAACGTTCAATGATGATGTAGAAACACATCTAACGATTTAATTGGAGGTATAACCAGATAAATAACTATAGAAGGGGAAGACAACCTTTATTTTTCATCACAACAATTACATAACTCAATATATATAATTTTAATATCTCTTATTTTTCCACACTTCTAATTCTCTACCAATATTAGAATGAATGCATGAACGAAAAAAAAAATGAACATTTGAAAAGACAAAGAGAGGTGGTTTGAGACCTTTCCATTCCTGAATTCTATTAATTAATAGCTATTAGCTTTCAATAGTGTGGCTTCTAATATTTTTTAGTCATTACAGCTGAGTTATTTGGTTTCTTCTATATTCACTTGATAATTTGAGAGTGGAAACGTGTCAAGTCTTTACACAAACATGTAGCACATTTTTTAGCATTATTAATGAAATGCACAGTGTACTTTTTTTTTTCCTTTTTTTCGCAATTACAACCTGTTATTTTTTAATAAAAATTTATATTTATTTTAGATATTTTTTTAATATACAAATTATTTTTTTTTATAAAAATAATTTAACAATTCCATCACTAATTATAGTGTATAAGAGAAGTTGAAAAGTATGAGAGAAGTTAAAAAGGCTTGTGGATTGTGAGCAGTCAATTAGGGGTTGTTTGGGATGTCCTAAATAAGTGCACTTTTTGTTTTTTGGACTAAAAAATTGAGAAAAAAAATATGGATGTTTGGGTTAACTTTTTAACTTTTTATGGAAAAATGTGTATTAAAAAATTGTATAAATTAGTGTGTAAGGAAAAATTAAGATGAGGAGTTGTGCAGCCGTACTTTTTGACTTTTGGTGAATAGTGATAACTTTTTAACTTTTTGAGTAACTTTTTGACTTTTTAACTTTTTTTCAACTTGCCAAACTTGACCTAAATACTGAGTTTTTTTTTAAATCAAAAAATTAAAAAACTAATATTAATCACAAGGTTTGTGAGTTAGAAATCTCAATTTCTTATATAATATATAGATATTATGCATTAAGAAAAAAATTTCATTAAAACAAAATATATAAACTAGATTTGTGAAATGTGTGAATTAA